CTTTTCTCTAATTACCAACGAGGACTTGACGCACAATTAGGCAACTATCCTCGATAGGGGGGGAGGGGGAGGAACTGTTAATTGTCGTGGCTATGTAGCAGCATCATAATGACTGTATCTTATAAATACTGAAATTCCCTGTGTAATAATTACCAACTTCTGCCATTGTACTTGATTTTGGGTCAGCGACGGATTTCGAAACTCCGGGTGAATATAATTCTTGTCCTAGCAATCACATCTGCTTCTCCTCAATAACTCAGTTGACTCAATTTGAGCAAACCCGGAGGCCTCGGCAGGATTTAAAACCGCAAGAACAAAGGCAAGGCTTCAGTACAGCTAAGGTTCTAGCCGCCTAACCTCCTAGGCCCCGACACAGGACCATAAACTTTATTCTCATCAAAGAACCCGCCCAAACTACTTCAGCGTATGAAACCTTACTATTATAATAGAGTCAGTTTAATGCCCAAGTGGGAATTTCTTAATTAACCAATGTAAAATCCAACAGGTGATTGTCAGACTGGCTTAACTTAGAGGTGCTTATGAAAGATTTCAAGAATTGAGCTGACAAGATGTAGGATATTTCCTTGAAATATTGTTCTTAGTAAGAATGCACTTTTTAGCCCCAGAAGAACCTGTATCAGGGTCAGGATGTTTTGCATTTTTCTTATTTTGAGGAGTGGGTCTGCGAAAGGGCAGACGGAAAGGGTCGTTCTACCACCCGAATGACTAGTTCTATGAATATTTAAAGTAAAAAGTTGATACTTCTAAGTAGTGGTTGGACTCAGAGCACGCAATCATCATGCCGAACCGCGGGTGATACGAAAGAGAGGGAAGTCACCATAGTGAGGGTTTTATTATGCACAGAACCCTGGGTTGCTGTCTCAGGCAGCAGTGGTCACGACAAAGCCAGGACTGGGGTTGAATGTGTCCAGTCAGACCTGAGAGTTTGTGGACGTGTTTGTGTTTATGACAGAGACAGCGCTGTCCGTTGCTATTGCATGATTTTGAAGCGAGTTCAAGTGGTGTGCGATTGGTGTGTTGCATTGCCCGAGGAGGTGTCGCGTTTAGAGGCACCTGCTGCGTTAACCAAGGAGTGGCGTGTTCAGGTGGCCCTAGGGCAGTCGCGACTATATAGGCGCGTGAGTGTGTATACGAGTGGACCTCGGTCAAGGGTTTTCAGGTCAACGTGTCGGAAAACAGTCGCCTTCGAAGGTGCATGACGTTGAGGCAGCGGGCACTGAACAGGGAAGTGAGACAGCGTTGTTGGCTGTCCGCCATAAAATCAATGGCAAAACTAACATGTAGGGCCTCCTCTATCCCCCCGCCCAACTGCTTAACGTATTTTGTGGTCAAATATTTAATTATTGGCTAGTGAGTATAAATTAATATGTAACTGTGGCGGTTGATCAAAAAATATTAAATTAAATACGATTATGTTTGTTTGAATATGCTAAACTAGAATAAAATTCGATCAGCATGAAATTCTGCTGCGCAGGATACGCATGCCAATGGACGGTAATTCGACCTTATATAGGCGAAATTTAAAGAAAATGGAAATTCTTCCCCCTAATGGTGGAATTGAACAAAAAATATTCCAAGTCGGGCTACTGAACATTCAAAAGTATTTTTTTAATTATAAGTAGGCGGCATGTTTGGGGCCTTTAAAATCAGTCCTGCCAAATCACTTTTCGGTTATCCCACTGGACGACGTGACCCTGGGTTGAACATCCTTTAGACAGGTATTATCGTTGTGGAGAAGTAGATACGATCACTGGGACGAGAGCTTTATTCGCCTGATGTTTCAGATGCAAGCTTAATCTCATCTTCAAGGACAGGAGCAGCAGATAAGAGTACTTCGTACAAAGGGAGTTGTGGTATTTATAGCATACGATTACTAGGCTACTGACAACTAACGGCTTCCCCTTCATTTACGATTATTGCTTTCTAGTGTGCTAATGGCTTGGTGGCCGGCGTGCGGGTGGTTAACTGCTGACATTTCCTCATCCGTCTTAGAGGTTAGAGTGATGATTGCTCAACCGTCCGGCTCATCGGCTTTGGCGTTGGAAAGTGAGTTTGCCGCCGCCCTCCTAGGGTGTCCTCTTACTGGACACTGTTGCCGTCTTCAAAGATGGATTCGCGAGGGCATCCAAAACCCCAGGCGAATAAATTTCTCGTCCCAGTGATCACGCCTACTGCTTCTCACTTAATTTCTGGGACTCGCATTTTCGCACGACCATTGTTGTTGGAGTCGACCGCCTCTGTAACGCCCAACGTCCGCAGTGTGTGCCAAACCTAGTAATCACCCTGTGGTGGTGGCATCCTTTCTAGATCTTCTTACGCCAGAGAAAAATCAGTATTCCCTTTAATAGGACTGTCTGTATACACAATCATTTTCCTGGTTCTAACAGGGCATATTGTTGCGGAAGAATTCCAAAAAAGCGCTTTAGGGCTGCCGACAGCATCTTTCGTTTACCTCTCCGCGTGTTACCTATTGTTGGCGTCTGATGAGGGCAGGCAAGCCATAAAAACCTTGTGTGCTGGGAATGCATCTTAAAGGCAAAGAAATAGCTAGAAATTAATCTCTCATTTTTTCTCCTTCACTTGTATGATATGATTACTAAGTATCTGTGTTTAGAATTATGTCGCAGCGGCTTACTATGAGGTGCCTATCTGCACGTGCATAGTGTAGCTCGTTCTTCTCTACTGCCGTAACCGCAGAGTACACGAAAATTCACCGGATGACGAGACATTTCGCCATCTTGCGCTGGTTTAGCTCATCAGCCAAGCACCTGGCCCGGTTGTCGCCACTGCGTTCAGTACTGATTTTGGGTTTTACAGATAAAAACTGACCACCGGGTGGGGTCTGGCCTAATGACCACTTCGGGCCGAATGCCAATTAGTGCGACTACCCATCGACAAACTGAACCAGCTCTCTAAAGCAGGAACCCTCCATACAACAAAAATTGGCCGTAAACACACCGCTGCTCGGGTTCCGCCCTTGTAGTCCGACGAAGATAGGTACGTTTCAAATACGCTATCAATCACAGTGTGGCACACCTTTTTTCACTACTATGGAGACAGATTAAGCGTCGCTTTCAACTAGGTCTACCGTGCGCTCCACAGCAGTGTTGTGTCGGTACGGTGACGTCAGGATGCCGGCTTCTGAACGAGTTTCTTTCTGACAGTTTGTAAATGAATATTCTGTTAAAAAACTGGCTACTTAAGTAGTATATCGTTTTCTTACTGATTTTCACCGTCCCTACAAATTCAAATATGTCTTATAGAAAACACACACA